CAGGTTGTGTCGGATGTCGCGAGTAGTAGCATCGCAGGAAAATTTGTCGCATGCCGCAAGAGTGTCGCTAAATGAACGTCTACAATAGTCACAATGATTGTTTGCACGCAATTCGATGATAAATTCTAAACGTCAACTTGCTGTGCTGTGATTGGCTGAGCTCATGTGACATGCCTGTGCAGTCGCAGAAAGTTGAAGTTGGCTCAACTCCGTACGACAAGAGCTCTAGAGCTCTTGCGACTACGACGATCATGTGACTATATGCGACACTTCTGCGACGTTTCATACGACATGCGACACAGCTTGTGCGACTATTGTAGACGAGGCTATAGATGGTCGTGGAGTCTTAAGTCGTAGGAAACCAACCAATCACAATCAAATATAAGGAGAATACTCGATTGGAATTGGTCAGTTTCTTATGACTTAAGACTCCACGACTGTCTACGACTTCTATGTAGAGGACCCTTTATGCGGGGTCTACAATAGAAGTCGTAGCGGTCGTAGGGTCTTAAGTCGTAGAAAATTGACCAATCATAGTCGATTATTCTTCTCATATTCTACTGTGATTGGTTAATTTTCTATGACTTAAGACTCTACGACTGCTACGACTTCTATTGTAGACCCCGCTGAACAGTGTTTTAGTAGCGTTTGCGTTGGTAGTGTTGATAACGTCTCCCCGAACGTACCCATAGTGTCTCCCCGAACGCACCAAGAATCGACCCCAAATAGCGTTTCAGCCATCGACATCTAGAATGGACCGCTGATGGCAATGGTGGGGGTAGAAAGACGATTAGAGTGAGAGGCAGGAATAATAAGATCGTTCTTTCTCTGTTTACTGTTGTTTCTAACTACTGTTGGATTAACAACAACTAATCAGGCTTCAGTAAACAGAGAAAGAACGATCTTATTATTCCTGCCTCTCACTCTAATTGTCTTTCTACCCCCACCATTGCCATCAGCGGTCCATTCTATGTAGATGTCGATGGTTTCAGCCCGATCGGGTTTGCACCAACCTTGGTTGGATTAATCTTTCCTATTGGTTGACGTCACCTGTTCTACCAATAGGAGAGCACAAAACGCCATTAATCCAATCCAGGTTGGTGCAAACCTGGACGGGCCGAAAACGCTAATGGTATAGTTCCTACTTTTTTTAAAGTGACACTACGATCATGGTGGAATCAGCTGATCCGTGCCATCGTTGACTCGCGTGTTTGATAATACACGCGGATTACTACTGGTAAATACCGGAATGTTATCTGGGTTATCACCCGATAGTACTTAGAAGGTTCCTATGGCGATAACACGGGTATATATCCGTTTCCATCGTTCTGACATTTGTGATACATGTCGTTGCTTTTATAGGTGATAATGTCCGCGATAAATGTGAAGGCGCTGGCTCGTCAAAACGTCCGGAAATTCTTGAATTCATTTGACACCGTTTTGACGGATTGTGACGGTGAGTGAGGACTACGTGTGAACATGATTGGTACGATGATGATTCCTTAGGTATCTTTTTCAGGCGTACTATGGATGCATATGACACCTCTGCCGCATTCGGCGGATGTTATAAACCTGTTCCGCAGACTCGGCAAACAGGTTTTCTATGTAACAAACAACAGCACAAAGACCCGCAATGACCTGGTGGAAAAGTGTAGGACACTTAAATTTGAAGCGACCAAGGATGACATCTTATGCACTGCTCATCTGTCAGCATGTTATTTACAAAGTTTAAACTTTTGCAAGAAAGTCTATGTTATTGGTTCTGAAGGTAAAACTATCAACGACATTACGAAATATCTGTTATTCTTTTCTAAGAAAACTTTTCTCAGAATTTTTATATGAATTGGGAATACTGAGAAAGTCTACATCCTTAAAATTTTGCATATATGCGAATTTTGAAATATTCAATATTTCTCTCTAGAATTTCTATTCTGATAAAATACTTTTTCAAATTTTATAAGATTTTATTGGAAATTATAGAATGAAACGTTTTCCAATTTTAATTTCATTGTCATTTATTTTAAAATTTATGTATATGTGCAGGATGAACCTGATAAAAAATTCAAATTTTTCTCGAAAACGGTTATAGATAGGGAGAAGACAATTATAATTAAAATTGGCCGTGGTCTGATTTATGCTGACAATGCTCATGAGCATCATTTGTCTTCTTTAACATTTAACAAACAACAAGGATAAAATGATTTTTAAGCATTGTTAGCATGAATCGGACCACAGCCATTGTAGGATGAGTAGGGGAATATACTTTGATGACCTTGAGTAATCTTAAATGTCCTTGGTTTTCATACTATCAATAAGAATTTTTTTTTAATGGGAAGGAGTTTTTTACTCTTTGATGGTGTTCAATAAACAGAATAACTTTGCATTAGAGTATTTTTTCGAAAATTCAACTATTATTGGGATATAAACCGAAATAAGTCAGATTGAAAGTTTACAACAAATTTTTTATTATTGCAATAAATGTTCAAAATGTTTACCTAGACATAACTATAGTCTTCTTGGAAAGTTGGCTTGGACTTCTTCTAACTCTTGAATTGTTATTTTTTGAATTGTTACGCAGCTCATTGAGCACCATCGATAAAATGAATAAAAAATACCCCTTCCCATTAAAAAAAATTTTTTTTATTGGTAGTATAAAAACCGAGGACATTTTAAGTTATTCAAGGTCGTCAAAGTATGTCCTCCTACTTATCCTACAATTTTGATAATAGGTGTCTTCCTCCTATCTTTAACCGTTTTTGAGAAAAACATGATACTTTTTATCAGACTTACTCTGTATATAAAAAATTCTAAAAAAGATGTGACTTTGTTAGCACTTTTGGAAAGCATTCCTATTTTGTATTAAAAAAATCTGAAATTTTATTTAAAAAATTATTAAGTTATTCAAAAATTGGGAAAATTACGTGAACAATTTTCATAAGGTATGCAATTGTTTTATTCTGATATTAATTTTTATGCAGCAATTGCGAAAGAATTGGAGCAAGCTGGTATCTCGTATTGTGGAATAGGGCCAGATCCAATTAATCAGAATATTCCATATTCCGTTTTCGAGAAAGATCCTGAAGTAGCTGCTGTTATAGTCGGATTCGATGAACATTTCAGCTATCCTAAAATGGTAAAAGCAGCTACATATTTAAATGATGTCAATGTACATTTCATTGGCACCAATACGGATGAAAGATTTCCAGTTTCAAATGACGTCGTAATACCTGGTAAGCATTGAAATAACTTTCTTAATTACCTTTGTATAACATGTTAATTAAAAATCTATAACTTTTTTACACAGGTACGGGAAGTC